TTATACTTAAGTTTTGTGCATGGTGATAGACATGGGTCTATCTGAAATCTTCTACAAGTCAGCATTCAGTTATGCCAGCACCATTTGTTGAAGATGCTTTCCTCCACCATTGTATACTATTAGCTGTTTTGTCAAAAATCAAGTGTTCGTAAATGTGTGGGTTTATATCACGATTTTCATTTGGATTCCATTGGTCTACCTGTCTATTTTTGTACCAATACCTAGCTGTTTTCAGGACTATAGCTCTATAGTAGAGCTTGAAGTCAGGGATGGTGATGCCTCCTGAATTTCCTTTATTGTACAGGATTGTTTTGGCTATCCTGGGCTTTTGTTTTTCCATATAAAGTTGATTATTATCCTTTCAAGGACAGTGAAGAATTATGCTGGGATTTTGATGCAGATTGCATTGAATCTGTAGATTGCTTTTGGGAAGACTGCCATTTTTACTGTGTTTATCCTACCTATCCAAGAGCATGGGAGATCTTTCCATTTTCTGGTATCTTCTTTAACTTCTTTCTTTAAGGACACAAAGTTTTTGCTATATAGGTCTTTCACTTGTTTGGTAAGCATTACTTTATATTGTTTTTAGCTATTGAAAAGAGTAATGTTTTTCTGATTTCTTTCTCGGCCCCTTTATCATATGTATATAGTAGGGCTGCTGGTATTTTTGAATTAATCTTGTATCCTGTTACTTTGCTGAGGGTGTTTATCAGCTGTAGGAGTTCTCTGGTAGAGTTTTTCAGGTCACTTCTGTAAACTATCATATCATCCTCAAACAGTGAGAATTTGACTCCTTCCTTTCCAATTTGTATCCCCTTGATCTCCTTTTGCTGTCTTATTGCTTTAGCTAGAACTTCAAGTACAATATTGAAGAGATGGAGAGAGAGGGCAGCCTTGTCTTGTTTCTGACTTTAGAGGAATAGCCTTAAGGTTCTGTCCATTAAGATTGATGTTAGCTGTTGGTTTACTGTATATTGCTTTTATTATGTTTAGGTATGTTCCTGTTATCTCTGATCTCTCCAAGACCTTTATCATGAAAGGGTTTGGGATTTTGTCAAAGCATTTTTCAGAATCTAATGAGATAATCATGTGGTTTCCTTTTTCAGTTTGTTTATATTGTGGACCACATTGATAGATTTTCTTATGTTGAACCATCCCTACATCCCTGGGATGAAGCCTATTTAGTCATGGTGAATGATTTCTCTGATATGTTCTTAGAATCAATTTGCCAGAATTTTATTGAGTATTTTTGCATCAATATTCATGAGGGATATTGGTCTGTAGTTCTTTTTCTTAGTTGTGTCTTTGTGTGGCTTGGGTATCAAGGTAATTGTAGCCTCATAGAAACAGTTTGGTAATGAACCTTCTGCTTCTATTGTGTGGACCAATTTGAGGAGTATTGATATTAGCTCTTCTTTGAATTTCTGGTAAAAATCTGCACTGAAACAATCTTGCCCTGTTTTTTTGTTTGTTTGTTTGTTTTTTGTTTTTTTTTTGTTTTTTTTTTTGGTGGGCAGGCTTTTGATGACTGCTTCTATTTCATATAGGTTTATTTAAGTTGCTTATATGTTCTTTATTTAATTTGGTAAGTGATATCTATCCAGATGTTCATTTCCTTTGAATTTTCAAATCTTGTGGAGTACAGGTTTTGAAAATATGACCTGAAAATTGTCTAGATTTCCTGTGTCAGTTGTTATGTCCCCATTTCATTTCTGATTTTTGTTGATTTGCATGTTCTCTCTCTGCTTTTGGTTAGTTTGTATAAAGGTTTGTCTATCTTGTTGATTTTTTTTCTAAGAAGCAACTCTTTGCTACATTGATTCTTTGTATTGTTTTCCTGGTTTCTACTTTATTGATTTCAGCCCTCAAATTGATTATTTCCTGGTGTCTACTCTTCCTGGGTGAGTTTGCTTCTTTTTGTTCTAAGGCTTTCAGTTGTGCTGTTAATTCTCTAATGTGATTATCCTGTTTTCTTCATATGGACACTTAGTGCAATGAACTGGTATGTTGTGTCTTCATTCTCATTGATTTCTAGGACACCTTTAATTTCTTTCTTTATTTCTTCTTTGACCCAGGAATAGTGCAATTGTGCATTGTCCAGTTTCCATGATTTTGTAGGGTTTTGTGTGATTTGTGTTGTTGTTGAATTCCAACTTTAAAGCATGGTGGTATGATAAGGTCCTGGGGGCTGTTCCAATTTTTGTTTTGTTTTGTTTTTTGTTTTTCATCTGTTGAGGTTTATTATGTTACCTAGTATGTGGTTGATTTTAAAGAAGGTTCTATATGGAGCTGAGAGGAAGGCATATTTATTCTTCAGTGTTTGGATGGAATGCTCTATAGATGTCTCTTAAACCCAATTGGAACAGAACTTCTGTTAGTTCTTTTGCTTCTTTGTTAAGTTTCTGTCAGGTGGTCTTGTCTAGTGGTGAGAGTGGGGTATTGAAGTCTCTCACTATGAGTGTGTGAGTTTTTATGTGAGCTTTAAGTTTTATTAGCATTTCTTTTATGAATGTGGGTGCCTTTGCATTAGGGCTGTAGATGTTTTGAATTGAGACTTCATCTTGATGGACTTCTGTGATGAATATGAAATGACTTTCTTCATCTCATTTGATTGATTTTTTTTTTTAATTATAACTTGTTAGTTATTAGGATAGCTACACCTGCTTGCTCCATTTGATTGGGAGATCTTTTCCCTGAGGTAATGTCTGTCTTTGAAGCTTAGATGTGTTTCTTGTATGCAGCAGAAGGAGGGATTCTGTCTTTGTATCCATTCTGTTAGGCTGTGTCTTTTTATAGGCAAGTTAAGACCATTAATGTTGAGGGAAAGTAAGGACCCTTGATTGTTAATGCTTGTTTGTTTTAGATTTGCTGTTGGTGGTGGCATTGTGAGTATATTTGCCCCACTTTTTCTTTTGGGTTCTGGTAAAGTGGGATTATCTATTGCCTATGTCTTTATGAGTGAAGTTAACTTTTTTCGGTTAGAGTTTTCCTTCCAGAACTTTCTGTAGGGCTGGATTTGTGGATATGTATTGTGAAAATCTGGCTTCGTCATTGAATGTCTTGTTTTTTCTGTCTATAGTGATTGAGAGTTTTGCTGGATATAGTAGCCTGGGCTGCCATCTGTGGAATCTTAGTATGTGTAGAATATATATCCAGGAATTTCTGGTCTTGAGAGTTTCCATGGAGAAGTCATGTATCATTTTATAGGTCTGCCTTTATACGTTACCTGGCCTTTTTCCTTCACTGCTCTTAATATTCTTTTTTATTCTGTATGTTTGGTGTTTTGATTATGTGGTGAGGGAGGGGTGAGGGATTTTTTTTTTTTTTTGGTTCAGTCTATATGGTGTTCCTGGTTCCACTGTCAGAGGTCTCTTAGACTGCTCAGGCCTTCTAACTGAGACCTATGTTCAGAGGGGCTGAGTATGTCCTATGCTGGTTTCCCAGCTATCAGTCTGGGGCCCCATTAGCTCATCCTTGTTCAGGTCAGCTGACGCTGTGTGTTTCTGTAGCCTGGTCTTGTCCTCCCTCTCTGCATCTGGATTCCAGTTCAGCTCAGTGTTTAGCTGTGGGTGTCTGCTTCTATTTCCAACAGCTACTATATGAGGGCTCCATGATGGTGGATAAGTTAGTCATCAATCTCATTATCAGGCAAGGGCATTTATGGTAGCCTTTCCACTGTTGCTCAAATTGTTAGTTTGTGTCAGTCTTGTAGGTCTCTGGACATTTTTCTAGAGTCAGTTTTCTCTTCAACCCTATACTGGCTCCCTCTTTTATGGTCTCTCTCTTCCTCTCTTTCTGTCTCTCTCTGTCTCTCTCTTCTCTCATCTATTCCTCTCCTTACTTAATCTTCCTAGTCACACGCGTTCTCCTCTCCTCCCCTTCTCTTTCTCCTAGCTCTCTCTCCACTCACTGCCCCCCCCAATATGCTCAGGAGATCCTGTCCCTTTCCCCTTCTGTGAGGGACCTTGTATGAATCTACTCTTTTAGTTTTATTGGTTAGAGAGCTTTCTCTAGCACAATAATGGAAAAATGCATCTATCCAAAAGGATGAGTGAGAGATGGATCTATGCCAAGAAAATATAAAATTACTGTTGAAATCTCATAAGCTAAAAAAAATCTTGTCTTGTTCAAGGGGCTGTAAGAGTAGATACTTTAATAATACCTATCATCTGTAGTTATATAATAATTTGTTTTTTGTTTGCTCGGTTTATCTCCCACCATTTCATATGAAAATCAATGATGCAGGGTTAAATGTATTTTTGACTCAGTCCTGTGCATTGCATCTACGACAACAATAGGCATTTCTGTGAATCAACAATAATGTACCTTGTATGGAATAAAACACTTTTGTGTCAATGCTGCTTTTCAATTAAGATATGTGTGCAAAATCATGTGACCCAGGAATGTCCAGAAACAAAAGTCTAACAAGACTGTTTTGATGAAGGAGTGAAGTTGTTATGAGAAATCCCTTCTCCATGACAGTCAGGAATCCCAATGAATAAATGAAGGTATGTCTAAACCTCCAAATTATTTTTGTGTGCCTACACCTTGGTTTGTAGGCTTCAGCATTCTAGAAGGCTCTTTACCCAGTCTTCAAGGCAACGACTGATGATCTCATTCCTCTTTAGGTACATAGAGAATACAATGTGTATGAGGCAAAAGTAAAGATTCTGTTGGTACAGAGGACAAGAGAGGGTATGTGATAGCCAGGTGGCTTCATCCATGGAGTATGACTCCATTGCCTCTACTGTACATTATCTTTCAGATGTTCAGTACTCAGCATGACTAATGCTCTGAGCAGGAATTACTCTAGGACACAAGGAATGGTCCAAAAATAAAGCTCTTTATTACATAATAGAATATGCATGGAGATGCATGCTCTCACCTGCTGAGATGAGAAGTTTTCTCTTCTGCAACACAAGTCAAGAGCAAGCCCAGGGTTCAGGGGATGCTCGCTAATAAAGATGCCTGCTAGTCTCATCTTCCCGAGCACGCAACAAAGCATACAGGAATAATTATTCATTCTGACATGTAATAAATTAGGTGAGAAACAATGAGACACATTGTCCAGTGTTTGTAAATATCTTCTGTGCCAGTCAGCACAGGAGCCAGCTGTTACTCTTCAGGGTGTGTGTCACTGTCCTGGCATTGGGGTCAAACTCAAACTGTGATGATCCACGGAAGAAATAAAAAAACCCTGCAAACACAGATGAGAAAATTGATGACACTTCCTTAAAGAAATTGAGTTTATGATATGAATAATTAAGAAAGAACAGAAGCTGATGCGACAGAGGATGAGTTAGGTGATGTCTGTCTGGCACCAAGCGGAATAATTTGCATGATTTTGACTCATTGATGAATCCTTACCAAAAATGTCTGCCAAACCAAACGAGGACAAACTGAAAATTAGGAAAGTGCTAGCATTTTTCCAAGGCAATGGCCCAATGAACAGCAGAGTGAGGATTCCATCCAGCATGCTAGAGCAACAGAATATACTACTACTAAACAGAGAATTCAAAGGGGGCTTTAATATTTAAGGGTTCTTCCCTTCTTTCCAACCTCCCTTGCCCAACGAGCTCTTAAATCACGGCATGGAAGGCAATGGACCAAAGGAAATGAGACAAATGATAAAACTCAGAGAGTCATTTTCTTCTTGTGTATATTATGGGCAAGCTGTTTTAATAACAACATCAGTAGTCTCATGATCATCATGACTGAAGTCTAGGAGATCCCCTAGATAAGTCTTCGGAGGGAGCAAGCAAATGCTTTGTTTTCCCATAAGCCCATTACCAGCAATAGAAGTTTGTCTTTTGAACATGTGAAAGGACAGTACTATTTATTTTCTACTGAACAATGTAAGTAATTTCAGACTCCGTCAGGAGCCCAGGCACAGTAGAGGGGACCGGAGACAAGGGCTGGTTGGGGATGGAATCAGCTTCCAGCCAACCTGGCTCACACTTGGTTGTCTCTTATATGACACAGAGGTATTGAAGATTATTCTGAGGATGTCCCAGTGTTATGGAGTGGAATCTTAACAATTGTTAAATAAAAACAGAATTTTAGACCCAATTTGCATCAATTACAAGTTGACATTTCAGGATTTGAGTAAAAATGACGTAAGGCAAATTATTTGAAAGCTTTTTGATTTCTCACTTCATTATTGACATTTTAACAACCTTATCAAGTCTTGACATCACATAAAATCAACCAACCTTGGTAAGTTTCAGTGAATATTATTTAAAAATTTATAGGCAAATGCTTATTGTGACATTTTTTTATAGTAAGATATGAATTAAAATAGCCCCACCTACACTTAACTGTGATGCCATAAAACACCCAAATGCCCCCATTGTTAATGACATGAAGTTCTTCCTACCAAATGCCTGAAACACAGCATCAACTTGTGGCTTGATTCCTGGAAAGTCGTCTTTTATCAGCCTGGGGAAGCCTTTATCCATAAGACCTCTCTTCTCATCAAATCTGCAGCAAGTAAAAGGAATTCAGATACACATCTTGACAAGTCTCATCTTACACATGGTGTGACATGGTGTGACATGGTGTGAACAGTTTAGTTCAGGGTCCTAGGACAAGTTTTCAAATTGTGCAGTGCTAAACATTTTTTTGGGGTTGTGTGTGGGAGGAAGATATAATAACAAGTGAACATCCTGTGATTGTAAGCATCTCTTGTTGAATAATGATGTCCTGAAACAAGGAAATCACGCTATAGTCTATAGAATTTCCACATATGTATCTAAGGTCTATTTTCTAAGCCTGGACATACAAAACTCAAGGATTGACCTGCCATAAATATATAAAATCTACATAAACATGATTAGTGACAATGGAGTGAGGGAGCAATGTGTCTGCATACACGGCCAGTAATGCACACCAGAAAAGCCCTTTCTGTCTGTGAAGTTGATCCACCAGGGAAGGTGGGAGGGAGGGAGGGAGGGAGGGAGGGAGGGAGGGAGGAAACTAACTTCCATAATTAGGCTTCAAGCCAAGTTTCCCACCATAGCTCACCTCCAGTATTTGTCCTCAACAAAGAAGTATGTGGTCTTCTTCTCCTCATCACTTACAGCTGCATCAATCTTCTTCACAGTGGGGGGGAAGCCGAGCTTGTGGAGTGCTTTTGGATAACCTGCTTGGACCTCATTCCCTCGGACTGCCCAGAACTGGTTTCCTGTTGAAATATTTCCCAAGAAAGTCTGTTTGAGTGAAACTAATTGGTTTTAGACATGAGAATAATAAATATGAAAGATGAAGTCTTGGTTTTTATTCCAACCCCTAACCCATGCTTATAGTTCATAGCTGGCGTTTTTTACAAATGTTTCCTGGCTGGGTGTGGTGATGAACACCTTTAACCTTGGCACTGGGGATTCAGAAGTAGGGGAATCTCTGAGTCCAGCTTTCTCCACACAGTAAGATTGAGATAAGCCAGAGCTATACAGTGAAACCTTGTTTCAAAAATAATACTTTCTGAATTGGGGGAAATGGTGAATGAACAAATAGATGAACAGATTCACTGCCCTTTCTGTGTCCATTTTTCTGTCCTTATTCTGTATTTCTATCTTCATTTATTCTGAGTTACCATAGCCAGCTCTAGGCCTTTCTCCCTTGGCCTCTTGTTCTACACTTCTTAGACTTCCCTCCTAAGGTTCCAACTTCTTAGACTTCCCTCCTAAGGTTCCAGCTTCTTAGACTTCCCTCCTAAGGTTCCCCTTGGTAAGTCAGACTTTTAAAATGCTTATTCCCAATCACCAATTCTCATCTACTCATCTTCCAATAAAACATCTAAGATTTAACAAATGGAGAAAACTCATACTTCAAAGGGTTTTACAGTAAACTTTATTTCAGCAAAGTCAAAAATTGGTACTGTTCTTACCTTTAAAGATGAAAACGCTATCTTTGCTATGAGCTTCATAGGCAGCATCTAAGTGTGAAGGAAGGGAGGGCCAAAATGTCGAAATCAAATGGACTTCAGGCTCGGGATTCCAGCGTGATATGCGCCAAAAGTATCTGTAATATATGAAAACTGCAACAGTCTTTCTCTTTAAAATAGTAACACAGAAGGGCACAGGCTTCTGGCCGACGACATTCAGCTGTCCACAGCAGTGCACTACATGTCCCACATGTGATCCCAGGTGATGGAAGCAGCCGGGGTGACACGGATGTCGTCAGCACCCTAGGAGCACCGTGTTCCAACAAGAACACCCAGCTCAACTCCACTCACAAGTGTGTAAAGTAGTATATACTTTATGACTCTGTTAATGTTTATAAGTGTTGTGTACCTTTTTAGATGCGAGCACCTTGGTAAAGTGGAGCAGAGCGGATTGGTATCAGTAGGAAGGAACACATAGGCAGGGGTCTGGGAGAGCAGAAATGGAAGGACCTTTTTCCTGCGCTACTCAAGAATTGTGCATGAGTGTTCATCATCTTTCCTAAAACGAGCTCATTGAAATAATAGCACTAGCTAGCAAGGATAATGATACTTGTGTGGCCCTAAAGATGGCTGGCACTTTTAGAAGTTCCATGACTTGTGATATATAAAGACTGAAAAATAAAAATAAGAGATCAAGTTCCCTTATTTTATGGATCTTATAGTCATCTCCTTGGAGCCTAGAAAGAATTGTCCACACTCTGGACAATTCCAAGAAGATCTTTAAAAATGCAATATATACCAGAGATGAATGATTTTGAAATATGCCAGAAATATGTCATAATCATATAAATTATATTTATTATATACATGCATTATATATATAACCCCAAGTTTATTTTCTTTTCTGAGCACTGAAGCAAAAGAGTAGCAAGGGAAATACAATGTTGTAGTCTAACCTGTCTTTAAAGAAGAGGACTTCCCCTCTCAGGGTGCTGACTGCATCAAAGGACAAAGCAGGATCACACTTTGGTGGGGTCTCAGGTCTTGGAGAGACAGAGGACATGGGTACCACTGTGGCATCAGAGGAGGCATGTGGTCCTGGAGGGAACAGGTTAGGGGAAGCAAATGTTGGAAGATCAGGGCTGCATCTAACAATTTACACACTCTCCAAACTTCTTCACTGCTGAGGGGGCACAGTAGGAGCCATCTTGTCCCCAGGTCCACGCCACACACTGCTTTCTGGCAATCTGACCCTCTGGCTTTCGCACCCAAAGCTCCCTCCCTAACAGTTCATCTATACTCCACAGCTCTTTGTAAATTACTGATTGCCCCAGCCTTAGAAGGACTTCTATTCAAGTCTCCGGATCTCCTGACAACCTGGATGTCATCTAGAGTAGCCATCACTCCAGGCTCCTAACATCAGGGAAGCAGAATATCATCCCATTCAGACAGGTCCATCTTCCTGCCTGCAAGTTCTGTTCCCCTTCTTACAGAGGCATAAACTCCCAGCAGGGTAGACTGACACATGTCCTTGTGGGCTCCCATTGCTGCTGATTTACCACATTTGAGATAGACTCAGTCTGTGGCCTTGGTCTGTGGGCAGACACTTTTAAAAGACTTGTATCTCATTTGGAGTAGGGACAGATTTTGATGATCCCTCCTGGAAGGCATCACCCTCCCTGTGGAATTGGGGGATGGTAAGGGAGGGGGTTGGGGGACATGGGAGGGAGGGAATGAGGGAGAGGGAACTGGGATCAATATGTAAAACAAGAAAAAAGTAAATATACATACATACATACATACATAAAGACTCCATCATTTTGTGGAGTTTTGGGCTTTGAAATTTGTTTAAGCACCAAGCCTACACTAGTTTCTGATGCTATCAATTTTATATTTCTTCTGGGTCATCAGGGCTGAGGTAAAGATGAACTTAGGATCAGCCATTCACACCTTACTGCTATTAATGACATGTACAGTGTTCTAAAAGAACACTGACAAGATCAAGCAAGCAAATAAAGAAGACTCTAGGCCTTTTGTCTCCGTGCTCACCATAGAGGGACTGAATGCCATCTATATCATCTTGAGAAAGCTGGAACTGGGCCGGGCTGGTGGAGAACCTGTAGACTGGGTACATCAGAGCTTCTTTTTTGTCCGAGTGGAAGAGACCCAGGGAGTGGCCAAGTTCGTGAGCAGCAACCAGGAATAAGTTGGTCCCTGTTTGAGAAAGCACAAACCTCAGGCAGGGTCTAGCAGTTACCATTCCACAGACACGCACACACTACTCCTGCCGACGGCACTGGGATCACATACTGCCTTCGCCTCATATGTCGGCTCACTGATTGGCATACTCCATCACATGACTTTCATGGTTAACGTGAAGTCAGTGTCATTAGCTGCTCTCTAGCATCATCTTGGTCAGAATGCTAGTTCACTCTTCCTGTATCAACAGTGGCAAGTCCTGTTTCCAAAAGAGATTTCTTTGGCAGGACCAAGATGAATCACACGCCAATGAAAACACATCTTTATCGTCTAGAAGTCAGAAACCATTGTTAAGATTTAGTAACAAAACTGGTTTTAACCACACTTTAAATCAACCACAAACTATTTATATAATCTTCAACCTCTTAAGTAACAAGACTATGGGGAATTTCATCACCATCATCAAATTTGATTGTTATAAAAATGTTCCCAAGAGAGAGCTTAATGGGAATAAATATATTCACAGTGCATCATATATGTTCATGAAACCATCAAAAACTAAATTTTGGAGGGAACCCACTTGCTAGCAATGGGCGCCGTACAAAGAGCACAGGTCCCAGTATAAACAGAAACATGTCCATTGCCTGTTTCTGTGGTGAACACAGCTGGACTCAGTTTCCTTGCACTATGAAAATTTCTGTTTGTGGAAGCAAAGGTTCAGGCAGTTAAAGGGGAGAAATATCGTTCATATCCCGTGGTAGTTCTGTAGACCTGCACAGTTAGTAAAGGCACCCTTCACATTAACCCACGGACACTTAGAAATCCAGACACCGTGAGTGTTTCAACAGTCTGTGTCCAAACTCCAAATGCTGTTTACGAATTTTAAGTAGAGTGCAGTTAATAGTAGCCACTGTGTTTGGACACCGTAAAGTTTTCCAGGAAAAGTTTGGGGAGGAGAAAGGCTTCCAAGTTAGCAAAGGTAGCATGTATATTTAAACAGAGCATCTTCCTTTAATTTCGGGCATTTTCTCCAAAGCATTGCATTTAAAAGGAAAAGAGGCAAATGAGAATTCGAAGGGCAACTTTCACGGTCTTAACTGGCACTCATTCAACACTACTCTTTTATCACTGGGTGGTAAACGGTACTAACAGCCTCTACGAGATCCTGAGTTGTGGAAATGACAGCTGATAGCACTTATTTGGTACTTGGTGGAGGCAAAAGACGAAGCAGTTTACAGTCTGTTAGTGATGAGATGGATAGAGCCTCCAGTTACCAACAGATAATCAGAAATGGAACATAACAGAACATTCCATTTGAGTCTTCCTCTAGACAAGTTATTCTTGGAAAACTAATATCTAAACTCACCCTACCTGATGGCCCCAGTGTCCATTTCTCATCCTCATCAAAGTGAACGTCTCCGTAAAACCCAGGTCCTGGTGGGTAGGCATGAGCCAGACTCTGTCCTGGTCCATCAAAAGGGTAAAAGTCTCCATGTTCTGATGGGAAACAAATTCATGGAAATGTAACTATAAGAGAGCACATTGGTGTCCCTCAAAGTCCTCATGTTAAAATATAATCTCCATGTGACAGGACCAAAAAGCAGCTCCTGTAGAAGATGCTCAGGGTGTGACGCTCTGTGATGGTTAATGCCCAGGTGAATGGAGCCAGGGGCCCTCTTGGACACTTCTGCTACAGGAGCAAACGCACGAGCTCCCTAAGAACAGACCCTCCACAAACTGAGTCTGCAGCCCCTTTATTTTGTATTTCTAATTTTTTGGAACTCCAAGCAATACCTTTGTGTTGTTTACAGATTTCCCAGTGTAAGGCATTTCATTTTAGTAGCCTGAACAGCTGGAACACCAGCTGAGTGATTATGCAACCGCATTACCTCCAGCTGCGAAGGAGATCATTATGTCAGCCTCTCCTTCCCAGCGCCTGGAGAACTTGAGTGGGGTCACCTCCTCCCAGACTTTCAACGCCTTCTCAATGGCAGAGTCCACACTCTCTTTCGGTAGATCTGGCGTATAATTCACAATCCTGCATGAGAAAAGTGGAAGAGGGCCATGTGTGGCGCGCGATGCCTCTGACAGCTTAACACTAGAAATGTTGGAGCCGTTCCTTACCTGTAGGTGAGGTGGTTTTCCTTCCACTTCGGTGAACCTGGAAAGGTGCTGAAGGCACCAACATCGGGGACGCCACACCTGGGCTTGAGCATCACATCCATAGTGCTGGAGTCCAGCTTCCCTGTCATCTCCAGCCCGAGGAACTTCTGCATTTCTTGGATTTTTTTGACAATGGGACTACTGTCCTTTCTTCTGAATACTTGTTCCTCATTTTTTTCAAAGTTGTAGTACTTTTCTAGATATTGCTAATGGAGTGACAAGTACAGTTTTAAAGCTGTGACTATGAATTTTAAACCATTTATACAAACATCAAAATCTATTTTAATTATAACCAATGTATTGAGACAAAAGTAGGTGTCACACCTAATTTGATTTTTTCACTAAGATGCCCCATTTTATTATTTCATTGCAATTTAATATGCTACCAGGGTAAGGAAACTGGAAAGTGTGTATGTGCATTAATTGAATATACCTAAGTTTCTCCCATCTCCATGATTAACATAGAGCTGCTAATGGCGAATGGTGTTAGGTAAACTCATTTTCTCACACATGAAAACTGAAGGCATGCATTATTCCTTGAAGTGGTAGAAGAAAGATAATTCAGAAGCAAGAGAGACTTCGTCCATTCCCCATTGTCTCTTCTCAGCTCGTTCCATTGCATTGCCATCCACGTTTCCTTGCCTCTCTCCTTCTCCGGAAGGATGGGGTTTCTACCTCTCTCTCTTTCCTATTTCCAACTTCTAATCAAGTCGTCTACTCCAGCTGGAAGGCCAAGGAGGCTCCGTCATGTGTTTCTTACCTGTGCAAGATCCATGCTCGGACGGCCTTGCTTCACTGCTCCATGCAGAGGATATGCTGAAGAGACTGGCAGGCACAACATCACCAGCATGAGCAGTGGCTCCATCCAGACAGCCGTTATTTTAAGAAGCGCTCCTTCTCTAGCTCCTGACTTCTATATCTTCGCCTTAGTGGCCACTCTTTTATAGGGAGTCGGTGTTTAGGTCACTAACGGCATGACTCACATGTGCGTTTATTTTTAATCTGAATGACTGCGTGCTCATTCACAAACACTCAGCATGAAGACAGAATAGCTTACATCAGTGAATCCCTCAACCTACTAAACTTGAAAGAATGCTTAATCTCAAGGAAGTGGCTTCTGTGTTTGTAAAGAGGAAAAGGAACTGACTGGAGAATTAATGTTTGTAGAATATTTAGATGTTTTGAAAACCGTGGTTTTTGTTTGTTTGGTTTTTTTTTTTTTTTTATACAACAAGCATTAGGCTCAAATACATGCAGGCAAGGAGTAAATAGATTAATAGGAAAAGATTCCAAATGTAACTATGAGGACGGCTATCTAGGCAGATAATGAATTTTTTTTGAGTCCTCGAGTGTAACAGGTATTACTGATTTTCAGATGGATTTACTGTCACTTGGGAGAGAAAGGACAGATGTACTGTGAGAAGACAGCCAGCACGGGGGAGGCAAGGTCCAGAGGTGGCGATCAGGTGTCCACAAGCGCCTGCTTCCTGAGGATGCCATCAGGCTTTGCTTCATGATGGCGGCCCCATAAAGACTTGTCGAATAGAAGTCAGTTAGTTTCATATTAGACGAAGATGCTCCCCCATCTCCTTTCTTGTCTTTGATTTTTAGTTTTCATCCTTTCCCTTCTTTCAAAGTACAAGTGATTGGGGTTTACAATGGAATTTCCAGTCCTTTCTCATTAAAAGAATTTTCATTAAACTGACTCTAGAGAAATGTCCAGAAACCTACAAGACTGACCCCCCAACTAACAATGTGAGCAACAGCAGAAAGGCTACCTTAAATGCCCTTCCCTGATAATGAGATTGATAACTAACTTATATGCCATCCTAGAGCCTTCATGCAGTAGCTGATGGAAACAGAAGCAGACACTCACAGCTAAACACTGAGCCGAACACCTGGAATCCAGTTGCAGAGAGGGAGGAGTGATAAGCAAAGGGGTCAAGACCAGGCTACAGAAACCCACAGAGACAGCTGACCTGAACAAGGGGGAGCTCATGGATCCCCAGACTGACAGCTGGGAAACCAGCATTGGACCAACTCAGACCCCCTGAACATGGGTCTCAGTTAGAAGGGCTGGGCAGTCTAAGGGACCACGGACAGTGGAACCAGGATGTATCTCTGGTGCACAAAAGAACTTTGGGAGCACATCCACCATGGAGGAAGACTCCCTTAGCCTAGAGGCAGGAGGGAAGGCCTAGTCCCTACTCCAAATGACTTGACAGATTTTGAAGATCCCTCCTGGAAGGCCTCACCTTCCCTGTGGAGTGGGGGGGGGGGGGTGGGACAGGGGGAGCATGGGAGGGAGAGGGAACTGGGATCGATATATAAAATAAGAAAAAATAATAAAAACAAAACAAAAAAGCATTTTCATTCCTTGCCTTGGTGAAGCTGAATGTTTTTCAAACATAGAAACGCTGCAGTAGTTAGTATGCCAAAATTAGCTCTTTAAAGACATATTTATTTTTACTTATGCATATGTGTACATGTTTCTCTGTGTATATGCCATGTGTGTTCAGGTGCCCTCAGAGGCTGGAAGCGGGAGTCAGATCCCTTGGAGTGGAGTTACCGGTGGTTGTCAGCTGCTCTGTGGGTGCTGGGGACTTGAACAGGTCTTCTGGAGGAGCAGCTCTTCGTTGCAAAGCTGTCCTTCCAGCCCCACAAGCTTGCTTCTTAATATAGAGGTTAGAGGGTGCCAACATGTTTGAAACACATTCTTCTTCCAGTGAAAGGAGAGTAACCCTACTCACATCTGAAGTTTGAAATCCAAATTAATGGGATAAAAACAAGTAAATAAAGGGGTGAACTTTTTAGTAGCATCTAGCTCCTTAGCAGAGGGAGGGCTGTCAGCTGAGACCTCCATAAATCAGGAGGCTCTGAGGCCTCCAAGCCACAGCTTGTGGGAGGGGTGCATGCCCTAGGCCAGCCAAGTCAGCTTGTGAGAGCCTAGGTGCTACCCAGAGACTAACCGAGCTGAAAATCAGAGGCGAAGATAACTGTTAGCAGAGTCAGACAAAGTCAGCAAGTGTACAATTTCATCACATGACTGCTTTTTCTATGGTGTGGGAAACATCACTGGCGGTGTTAGTTTTGATGTGTACTCCATGCTGGGAGCAAGCCCCTTTTCATTTCATTCTCATGGCTCATGTAGATAGAGCTTGTTGGCTGGGCATATTCCTAACAGCCCTGAGGTGCTGACTTGACAGGTTCTGAGATGCCTTAATGTTCGTTTGAGTCATACTTTTGTTGGTGTTGGCACACCCTGCTGATGGTTCCTGCGTGCCCGAGAGCTATGGCTGTGACTGTAGTTGACTAACCATGAAAGGACATGCCTCCCAAGAGGGATTTTGTTGGATAAAATTACTCCGCTTTAAGCCACCACACCTGGAGAAGATTAGGGCTATGGAGTCCTGACTGTTACCTATTAAATTCACTGAATATTTATGCAGTAAAGCAAGCAGTCATATTCAGTTCATTAAGGAAAGGTTCAATTCAGTCCGCAGAACAGAGCTCCTATCTGTGAGATCTCAAGTATGCACTCATCCTAATCTGCATTGTTATTATTGTTGTTACCTAAGAAGTTTGAGACTAGAATAATAAAAACAGGAACAAACTCAAAGCCATCTAGCTAACCTCAACTTACTTGAAAATAAAGGGTGGTTGTAATTGCAATTCCAGCATAGGGAAGGTGGTAGGAAATCTCTTGAGTTTCATTGGCCAACCTGCTCAGACTGTTCCAGTGAGTTCCAGGCCACTGAGAGATGCTGTCTCAAGAAGGAAGAAAAAAAAATAAGGAAAGAAAGAAAAAAGAAAGACGGATAGCATATAAAGAATGAAAACTTAGTTTTCTGTTTGTGGTGGTTTTGATAGGAATAGCCCCAATAGACTCCTGTGTATGGATGCTCAGCCCATAGGGAGGGCACCATTAGGAGGTGTGGCCTTTTTGCAGGAAGTGTGTTACTGTGGAGGCAGGCTTTGAGAGCTTAGAAGCTCAAGTCTGGTCACTGTGACATGGTTTCCTTCTGCTGCCTGCTTATTGAGATGTGGAATTCTCAGCTTCTCCAGCACCGTGTCTGCCTGGGTGCAGCCATGTCCCACCATGATGCTGATGGACTAAACGTCAGAAATTGTAAGCCACCCCAATGAAATATTATTCCTTTAGAAGAGTTGCAGTGGTGATGGTGTATCCTCAAAGCAACAGAAACCCTGAGACACTGTCTGACCCACACAGGCACGTGGACATGCACCTACACTCAGAAGTGCCTCAGACACCAATATGTCCCTTTCCTAATATATACTTTATAGTCTTGGGGAAAACTGCCCCCCCCCCGGCCTTCCTAAGGACCAGAGTCTAGTGCAAGGTGCTTCATTTCCATGCAACCAAGTTCCAGTCTCCCTGCACCTTTCTGACTGCTAACTCAACGCTGTGAGACTGAAGTTTTGATCTTTCTATCATATACTACGAAACATCATTGTGTGCACGATATGAGCTGCCAGGCAAACAGCACTTGGGAACAGCTTCTGGATTCCTTTTGGAATACCAAGTCCCATTTCAATAACTTCTTTCTTGTCTAGCCTTGTAGCCCTGCCACATACATCATAGCCCAGTATTTGGGACCCACTCTGAGCACTGTGCCTTGGTAGGTGACAATAATCAATAAGGACTAGCTGCCATAATGCCTGCGCTTATGAGGCATATTCTGTGCAGGTGAACTCCACAAGAGTACAGACATTTGAAAATCTTGGATAGACTAATTTCTCATGAGTATTTTTCATACTGTTTATTTTCCATTTCAAATTTGAAAGAAATAGCAATTATAAGCGAGGCTTTATAACCAGGTAGTAACGATGTAATGAAATAGAAAGCTTATAAAGCATTAGAGACAAAAGCAGCTTTAAGTATCAAATCTTTATTTTGTACAAGAAGCATCTCTTAGCTGGGCATGGTGGACATGCCTGTAATCCTCGCATTTGGCACCAGCAGCAGAAGATGAGTGAGTACAATGCCAGTCTGGGCTGTAAGATCTGTTTTAAAACCAGAGCCAAAGCACCAATGCATTCTCCTGGCATAGAGCTATTCATGTGTTCTAGAACTGCTTTTCTTCTGGGGAGAGCTTGTCTGCTGACCCTCCTCTCTTGAAAGAGAGGCCTAGGATTAATGTCATAGCCACGCACAGATGGCCTCCTTTAATAACTTATCAACCAGGAACGCAACCTTGTTTGACTGTCAGTCAGTTGTGGCACTAAGCTGTTTTAGTTCGTAACTATCGTGAACTGAAGTATGCAAGATGAGCTATAAAACATATAAAATATGAAATATAAAATATGAAAATATACAAGGTGAAATATAAACACAAGTGTACCTCATAGCTTTGTGTACCAACAATTCTAGAAAGTAAATACAATATAAAAATGCTTGGCTCTTCAGAAAAATATCTTCTTTTACATCATGAGACGTGTATTTTCATTGACTGGCAACAGGCTGCCAGTATCCTTAGCAGTTGAACCAGGTGTTAGATCCCCGGGTAGCATCAACCATTCTTGTCTGGAGGTTAAATCTGTGTTGAGTTGTTTGGTGGAAGAAATAAAAGTACCCTAGAAATAAAATGAAATATAGTTACTATATTATACATGCAGTTTCCAGATTTTAACTTAATCCTGAGTACTGCATGACTTCAGTATATGTATTTTTAACATTTGTATTTTAATTTACATGTACTTTTTTGTGGCTTTTCAAGACAGGGTTTCTCTATATAACAGTCTTGGTTATCCTAG